TGTATTTTATTTGGGAGATTTTTGTGTAGTTAATCTGTGTAGATTATGGAAATGCGCGGCAAAGCGCGCGAGCTGACTTGTAACAAACACCTTAGGGGTAGGGCCGCTTTATCGGCGCGGCATGGAGCAGGCCGGGCCTTGAAATACTATCAAAAACGTTTTGTAACCAACCCGTCCGAAGGTTTTAAAGTGTAAAAAATGTTTATATATCATTATTTTAGTTAAAACGGTTTCATGTACACTGTAATGGAAAAAAAACGAGCGTTTCATCTTTCTAGATTAATCAAATCGAGAATTCGACAGAGTACCTACGCGTCATGTCTTGATTAATATAAATTACTCAGCCATTGCCACGTGCCTAAAGCGAGGAATGGACCATAGATTACTTACATTAGATTACACTTAATATATTCGGAATGGACTCTTTGCATAGATTATGTAGTTATATTGTTACAATTTACATAAACTGCTTTCGATCTAATCAATCAACCTAACCATAAGTATTAATATTTTTTATATATCTACAGGTATTTATTCTTGAATTTGGAATGTAATTATATTTTTAGTTGGTTTTGACGTCATACCAGCTTTGTTAAATTGTTATTGAATAAGACAAAAACTAACTTGTAAAAATATGTGTTTTTTTAATAGCTTTTCGGTACTAATTAGGTTTTTAACTACGAAAAGATTACATTCAGCTCCGAATGAAAAATGAGGCTATACGCACGCGACATTGTTATCTCTATGTTCCGACAAGAATAAATAAAACACTTCGTAGAAAAGACACATTTATTTTATTATTCTGTCGAGTCTAAACCTACGATAACGCTTTATGGGGACTGTTATCGTACACTAACGAACTTTCACATAAAACAAGCAAAGATTCCTTCTTGTGGTCATCTAACAATAAACGCGTGGGTTTTTTTTTTATCGTACTATCGTCAAATACCGTTAACAATAAGTTACTAACCTATGAGTGTAGTAGGTATTTAAAAATTGTTTATTGGGAATTAGCATAACTTGTCAAGTCAAGAATTGAATATTTTTGAGAATACAACTTTACACAATAAATAAACGTTCGATTCGGAGTTTTAAGGAAAACACATTCAACTTTATGATATCTCAATAAACCTCATAACAGAATAATGAAGCCGCTTTTATGGTTCCATTTTGTTTCTTCAATAATAAAATCTGTTGTAAAATCAACGAATATTGCTATATTCTGAGAATGCGGTAACTGAAAATTCCAATTTACAACTCTATACTTAGGTGGTTTGAAAAAAAAAAACTTTAATTGGTCTACGCGCGTGACTTCATTTTAGCGGCAATTCTTTAGCTGAACCGAAAGAGAGGAACTTATGCGGCTTCTTCGTGTGAAATGAAACACACTATTTGTTGAAGGGTGACGTTAAGGTACATTTAGCTGCTTTTAGGTTTGTATCATACTGTCATTTGTCTGGTCCTTAATGACAGGGATTTGAATAAATAATCCTTGATTTTGTTTTTGTTTTTCTTAGTATAATCGTCCATACTGCATTAAGTCTTGAAAAACAACGCTGTACTGATTGTTTTTATATATTCATTCTTATGTACACAATCGTTATATGAACATGAAACAACTATATAAAAATATTAAAATGATTAATGTCGTTAAAACATGAATCGAGTTTTTTTTTTATTATTGTATCCAAGAAAGTTTTATTGTTTTTGTTTACCTAAGGCATTAACAAAAACAAAAAAAAAAACAAAAAAAAGTGTGTTCCGTAACGAGGTACAATCCGACACATCACTGACGCCTTATTTTTTGTTGTGGTTTGCTTACAAAAAATCTTTATGCAGTTTTATGTTCGTTGTAACTCGCGACGCGCGACTTGAAGATAATATTGAGGCATGTTAGTCGATATTTCGGGAACATAAACTTCAAATGAAAATATAGACAATAAAAAAGTATTTTCTACGAGCTTCTGTAGCTTTCAACCTATCTCTGTAGTAAATCATTCGCAATATTCACAAATAGTAAAATTCTAGTATAATTCTACATATCTCAAATAGCAATCATTCATAATAAAAAAAAGATGCAGCGGTGTCGCGATTACGTAATATTTTCCCAAAATACACCTTTACAATTATCTAGTCCGCTAAAAAAATCTCAATATATAGAACGATTATTACCATAGATTTCTCGATCAAAGAGAAGTAGAAAAATATTATGCGGCATAAAAATAGAATTTGCTTCAATAATCGTCGCTTATTACGTAGATGCTATTATGTAGATAATATCATCCTCCAAAAAACATTGATAAAAACGTAGTATAATCAATTCACTGAATCTTTGAATAACAAATGATATTTATCATTGTCTAAGTAACAATTAAATTTAAATAAATTCTACACAGAATCATCTAGAATAAAAAGAACAGTACAAATTTGAATTAAGATTAATTATCAGTGAATTGGTACCAATTCGAACAGATATATATTCGAACAGGTAACCCTTTATTTAGATAAGTTAAAAAGGTTGTTCACCCCTGTAGCTAGGGTAGGTAGCTATGTTTCATGTGTGCAGCGCGCAGTGTGGCCACATGAGCCCCACACTTGTTGCTATTAGTCCATAATTTACAATGCGACACACATTTCAACGTTCACCCATTAGTGAGGATTAAGGAAGTCTCATGATGACGTGAAAGGATGTGACACACAGAAATGTAGTTAGTTACCTTGAAAATAAAGAGCTACAATGCATTAAGTTTTTTAACGTATAGTGAAACTGATGTGTGTGATAGTCCACTGTGATTTTTGCTAATTTTAAGAAAATTCTCGGGAGATTTTTGAGTGCTCTTTAATAGAAACATTATCCTTAATGTATAATATACATGAGGCTTATCTGTCCAGCCGTTCTCGAGTGCGGCTCAGTCATACACATTCCAATTAATTATGATTTGAATTTTTATATTAAATATTCTTTACTTCTTTGAATACTGTTATTAAATATGGTTCAATTTTAAAACGTTTGAAAACAAAAGCGTCTTAATGATTAATTTATTCGGTTTTACATTGCCAAACATCGATTACCATGAGATAAAGCGTCTCTCAAACGTGACGATGCATGTTCTTGAACCGAAAAAAAGAAAGTCGTCAAAGCGCGGGCCACACAGACAATACAATTTAACATAAAGCGTTGCGTTGTCGTTTTATTGGTCTGGCGTCAGTCCGCGTTAAGCCTTCGTGGTATCTTTTATAGTGAGCCCTGTCGTATATTTCAGGTTTATAATGTGCGACGGTGCGCTGTGAGCGGCGCGCCGTGGGCAGGGCGTGGGCGCTACTCCAGAATTGCGGCCCACGTGCCGCGATCTCAGATACCATTGTCCGTTTCGAGCTTGTTTACGAGAGCGTTCCTCCAGATATCGCCCAGAAATGACACTTTGATCGCGTGCCACCATCTCACTGAATTTGAACATGCACTTTCCCTTACGAATGAACATGTCTCAAATACGTAATGAATACTGCTCTTGCTAGGGTTAGTGTTAGCATATCTCTCAGGTTGAGCCCGTGAGCTCACCTACAAGTCCGCGCGAATGTAATGTTATATCTATTTTTTTTTCTCATGTATTTATTATATATTTTTTTTTTATTTATTGCTTAGATGGTTGGATGAGCTCACAGCCCACCTGGTGGTAAGTGGTTACTGGAGCAGAAACAGGTAGGGCGGTAGTACCTACCCGTGCGGACTCACAAGAGGTCCAACCACCAGTATATATATAACTAACCGCTTTTATTACCAATGCACGCAGCCGGTACCATTTACCAGTGTGTTAGCATTTAGTGCGAAATCAATGTATATGTTACCTGTAATGTTCTGTGCGGATGTATAATAACATGTTGGTACCCAATAAATAAAATATAATAACTAACGAATACGTAGTAAAAAGTGATTTAATGGTCACAACAAAAAGTGCGATGCGTGTCTTGAAAATTGCCAATTGAAACCCTAGAGAGAAACTGTTAGTTAACGGTACAACCGCAAATAATAATTGAACAACGGCAGAATATAGTGGGATTATAAATGTATATTGAGTCGTAAACGGTAGCATTTAACAAATATTTCAGTGACATCTATTAATACCGGACAAACGGAGCCGGTTGTTTCTATGGTTAAGTCGTGGAATACGTAATGAGATTTCCTTTCAAACATACGTATTCGGTAGTTAAAATAAACCCCTATCGTATTACGGAACCAAGTATTTTAATGATTTATTAAGAATTTGATTTATAGAATATTTATTTACGATGACTATATGATTTTTATCTCTAATTTTAATTTTAATAATCCTTATCTTTATTGTTATTACTGTGTGTGCTTATGTATGTTTTGTATTCGGGTTCACCGTTTAATTTGATTTTTGTATTTGTTTTTCTTGTTTTTATACTAGTTTATACCGGGTTCTAAGTATGTACACACGTATCTAGCCTTCTTTCCCGCAAAGAACCAAAGGGAAACGGTGGTGACTGAAAATTAGCGCTGTTCGATTTATCGACTTTGAACAGCATTAGCTGGGCCAACTCTTTTTGCTGTTTTCTTTCCTTTTATTTATATTTTTGGAACGAAGTTCCCTATGGGACAATGCGCAGTGGTACCCTAACCGGGAAATAACGTCCGTAACGTAAGATATTTATTAGTAATGCACACAGTGTACGACTTAACTGTAATAGCGTACAAAAAATAGCATATTTTTATTATATATTTTTTATAATACATTGTGAATAAAATAAAGTTGATAACTTCATAAAGTATTTTTTATTTATTTTCATCAATAAAAAAATCATAATAAAACATGTATACCCGACAAATTATTTTCTTTATACCTCGAATAGAACTTAAAATTAATATTTTTATAATAAGGAACTTCGTTCCTATCCGGTGTCCCACGACACCACACATCTTTTTTTATTTTATTTCGCGTGAAAGGCAATTAATTATATTATTATTATTATTGTTTAAGTGGGCTGACGTCGAACGCCGAGCGAGGTGTTACACCCGTGTACCTCCGTTGCCGTGAGGGCAGCGTGTCCTGGATGTACCCTCGGGGTGCCTTGCGTCTGTTGTTCCGCCCTCCACTACCAGCCGACGAACGGGACTTCAGAGTGTGCATACGGGTCGTACGGAGACCGGACCCGCCCGACCTATTTCACACCTTGCAGCTTAATGAAACAGGTAAAATATTATGAATGTCAAATTAATATTACTGATGGTATACTTACTGGTAGTAGGACCTATTGTGAGTTCGCGCGGGTAGGTACCACTACCCTGCCTATTTCTGCTGTGAAGCAGTACTGCGTTTCGGCTTGAAGGGTGGGGCAGCCGTTGAAACTATACTTGAGATCTTAGAACTTATATCTCAAGGTGGGTGGCGCATTTACTTTGTTGATGTCTATGGGCTCCAGTAAACAGTTAACACCGGGTAGCCTGTGAGCTCGTTCGTCCACCTATCTAAGCAATAAAATAAAAATATGAATGAAAATGTTTTTTAAGACTTCTTGACGGTAGGCAGCTAATTGGCTGTGCCATTGGCATTGCTGAGCGCCCATGAACGACAGTAACCACTTACCAACAGCCGGGGCGTAAGCTAGTCTACCCATAAAGGCAACAAAAAATAGATAAATAAAATGTCTCTCTCCTCCGTCAACTATGTCGTCAGTAATATTAGTTCTCTAATTGAAACAACAACAAAAAAACCGGTGGGCAGACATTTTTCGAAGAAAATTATGATGATGCATAATGATAGCAATTGTGATGTTGCAACATTGTTTACAGAAGCTGCGGACAGATTCCCGGCGCGTTTGTTCGTAGAAGGCGCAAAGAGATTAGAGCCTTTGTACGCTCCTAACGACGGCGACCCGAGAGAGCTACGCTGTTTCCGGAGCAGAAAAGGCCGGGCCGCTTTGTACGTTGAGGCGGAACCCGAAGATGGGCCCAAGAAACGAGTGGCCGCCTTAAAGTATGAAGCTCGGTTGCTCGACAAGAGACACTATGATCCGGCCACATCAGAATGCAGACCGTGCACCGAGGCCGAGATGGAATTAGCCTTCTGCACAAGCGATCTAGGTACGTGCACACGAAATAGTAATCTATAAATTAATACGTGTAACAAAAATTTTGTACCCCTTTTTACGAAAATTGCGCGGACGAAGGAATATGAAATTTCCCAAAATTATAGAGGCTATTTCAGCTTGCGGAAGTGTTGCTAACACTGGCCTTAGCAAGAGCAGTGCTTCGTAGAATCTGCCACCGGATCGGAAACGCGACCCACTGAGAAGATCCGGCGAGAAACTAACTGGGCTATGTCCATGGGTTAATTTACCCGTCGAGCCCTTCGTCGCAAGCGACGGGTTCGGCGAGGACAGTGACCGGTGCTTGAGATACCTAAAACCACCGTTAATGGATCGGGAGGATCCGTAATGACGTGAGAGTGAAAAAGGGCGCAGAATGCTAATTTTTTTTTTCAAATTATGCATAGAAAATACGTTAAATCAATAAATAAAAAAACATTAAACACACTTTTGTTTATTGTTAAAGTCTGTGGCCAAATTGAGATTAGATTAATATTGTTTGTCTTTGATATTATTTGTCTATAGTGTAGCCTTAGAGAAATCTGTGATCATAGATAGTCCAATACTTCTTCTATTGTCAAAACAATAGAACCGTATTAATGTTCAAACTTATAATTTAAATTAATTATGGTTGAATTTCGATAGCTAAGCGACCACTAGTATTTGTAATTATACTTTGTCAACCACAGTAATTGCCACCGGGAGTAGCGACGCAGCGACTCGCCTTCACGAATGTTAATGAGCACCTCCGTGCCGTGCACACAGTAATCTGCCACAATAAACAAATTCCTTGCACTAAAACGTAATTTAAAAAAAAAAAAACAACTAAATAAGCCACATTCAACATTGTCGTCTGCGTGGTAAAAAATATGAATTCCTAAAACACCGCTAAGTGAAAGATATTAAGCAAAAATTTTAAATACGAACACCATTGTCCGGCGACTCTTTGTGTCGCACCGCTAGTAATTTTGAAGAATTTTTTTTATTTATTTTTTATTGCCCTTGTAGGCATACGAGCATACGGCCCACCTGATGGTGAGTGGTTACCGTCGCCCATGGACTTCAACAATGCCAGGGGCAGAGCCAAGCCACTGCCTACCGCTAAACGCTGCTATTTAAGCGGGAAGGTGTTTACGTTTCGTTTTGCATCAGCCACGACTCAAGACGGAAGCTTTTGCATACGTATTGCTTAGATATAATTGATGACAGGTTTCGGCATACTTGATGGGTATGGATGTGGTAACGTGACGCTGCAGGGAGCTAATGTTGAACGTTTTTCTCATTCGAAAAAAATTTATAATAGCTGTAGACTTAATGTCACCGGCGGCGGGACGCGCCCCGCGGGGCTGTAGGCGGCCATTACCCAAACGTCATTATGTGCCGCCAACTTGTAACGTTGAAATTTTTGTTTGTCACGCTACAATAATAACATTTGTTATGAATATTGCCTTAAATATTGAATACAAAAAGCAATTAGTCTTAGGTAGTCCGAAAGATTAAGACAAATATTCTTACCCGAATCTTATCTTATCTTAATCGTTTTGAATAATCATTTTACTTATAAACGTAAATATACTTAGATTACATTTTGTAATGAAATAATGTTTGCTTGAGTATCAGAACGTTTACGAATCGAGCTCGAGTCGTTAGTGAAAACCTTTCTATGTAATTACGGTCCGCAGAAGGCGGGCCCCGTGGGTTGATGACCGTTTACCGACGCTTAAACTATTCACTTATCTATTTCAAACAAAAGCTTATCAAAAAAAAAAAAATACTGTCAATATTGCTTACTCATCCTTTTAAAAGGAACACAATAGTAGCGGCGATTAATATCTTTTGCTCTAGCTATGATAAATTTATATTTGTGATGTCAGACACGAAAAAAGTCGGTACCTACTGAAATTATTCGCACTGCAAAATTGCGAATGCCATAGTTATGGATAGTTCACGAAAATGGCTTCTCTCTCACATTTTCCTAGCGATCACATTACTGGTGGTAGGACCTCTTGTGAGTCCGCACGAGTAGTTACCACCACCCCACCTATTTCAGCCGTGAAGCAGTTATGCGTTTCGGTTTGAAGGGCGGGGCAGCGTTGTAATTATACTCAGACGTTAGAACCTATATCTCGAAATGGGTGGCGCATTTGCGTTGTGGACGTCTATGAGCTCCAGTAACCACTTAACACCAGGTGGGCTGTGAGCTCGTCCGCCCAACCAAGCAATAAAAAAAAACGTGAAAAAAGAACATTTTCGACTGTTTATATAATTTGCTAATATGCGTACACTTTTATTTTGTTGCTTGTGCTCTTATAAATAATCAGCTTAGACTGAACAAAACGTGTTAAACAACCTGCCGTGTTGATCAAATCTAAACGACTTACGAAAATTGTTATCTGTGACGTCAGACGCGAAACAGTACTGGAATTATTCGCACTATAAAATTGCTAACGCCATAGACATAGGTAGTTCACGGCAATGGCTTCTGACATTTTTTATAGAGATCATATTTTTCAACTGTTTAGATAATTTGCGAAATTGCGTACACGTTTTACTGGTGGTAGGACCTCTTGTGAGTCCGCACGGGTATGTACCACCACCCTGCCTATTTCTGCCGTGAAGCAGTAATGCGTTTCGGTTTGAAGGGTGGAGCAGCCGTTGTAAGTATACTTGAGACCTTAGAACTCATATCTCAAGGTGGGTGGCTTATTTACGTTGTAGATATCTATGGGCTCTATTAACCATTTAACACCAGGTGGGCTGTGAGCTCGTTCACCCATCTAAGCAATAAATAAATAAAAATACATCTAATGTTGTAAAAGCATCGCTTGTCTTATAAATCAGTTTAGACTGGACAAAACAAGTTAAACAAGCTGCCGTGTTGATCTTAACGATTTACCTACGAATTCGCGACGTCGACATTACAATAATATAATAATGAATAATAACGGAGACAAGATTGATACATCATCATCATCATCATCATCATCAACAGCCCACAGTCGTCCACTGCTGGACATAGGCCTCTCCCAATCCACACCACTGAGCCCGGTCTGCGGCTCTCCTCATCCACCTCTTGTCGGCCACCGTGCGGAGGTCATCGCACCATCTAGCCAGGGGGCGTCCCACGTTACGTCTTCCGCTGCGCGGTCTCCACTCGAGAACCCGTCTGCTCCAGCGATCGTCAGTCCTACGGCATATATGGCCAGCCCACTGCCACTTAAGCTTGCTGACTCTTTGAGCTTTGACTATTGATTGATACATTTGCTATAATATTTAGAAAAAAAACCTGGAAAATGTAATCATCAAAGACAGAGCCTATTGAGTTTCTCGCCGGATCTTCTCAGTGGGTCGCGTTTCCGATTCGGTGGTAGATTCTGCGAAGCACTGCTCTTGCTAGGGCTAGTAGCAACGTTCTCAGGTTAGAGCCCTTGTTCGGTGAATTTAGTATGATCCCTCGAGGTCGCTAGAATAATTAGGAAAAATCATCAATCATCGTTCAAGAAAATTTTTTTCAATTAATTGTGACATTGGGAATTTTTATGTGAGAAAAAATTTTCAGTTTTTTTTTTAACAAATTTTAATTACGCATTATGTATTCTATAGTACTCGCAATAACAAAGTGATCTGCTTACCAACAGTATCTCGAGGAGTGATTGTTGGAAGCGAACAGCGCGAGGATTTGGATACGACTCAACTGACTCTTCGACTGACCAAACTCATCAGAGCCACGGCCAGGGAAAACGAACAGGACAAGATAGATCAAGAAAACGATGAATATTATAGGTAAGAGTACGTTGATTATAAATATCTATCTATCTATCTATATATAAAAATGAATTGCTGTTTGTTAGTCTCGCTAAAACTCGAGAACAGCTGGACCGATTTGGCTAAATTTGGTCTTGAATGATTTGTGGAAGTCTAGAGAAGGTTTAAAAGGTAGACTAGGTAGGTTTATTTATTTTTTATTGATTAGTTGGCTGGACGAGCTCACTGCCCACCTGGTGTTAAATGGTTACTGGAGCCCATAGAGATCTACAACGTAAATGCGCCACTCACCTTGAGATATAAGTTCTAAGGTCTCAAGTATAGTTACAACGGTTGCCCCACCCTTCAAACCGAAACGCATTACTGCTTCACGGCAGAAATAAGCAGGGTGGTGGTAGCTACCCGCGTGAACTCAAAGAGGTCCTAGCACCAGTAAAGTATTTCTTCAGGGTAATAACAGTAGGTAGGCTAGAGGAAAAAAACTCAAAGTGCGCTCGCCACGCTAGCATGAAGCTAGATTGTTCTAGAACAATCGATTTATTGTGGTATTGTCGATGTCCATGAGCGACGGTGACCCTCAAATGAGCCCTATAGTCGTCTGCCTTCTAAGAATATACAAAAAGGTGTCATATTTCGCATTGGTGGGCAGAGCCGTTCTGTTTATTTCTACTAATAATAATATAAACAATTATGAGTTTCGTATGAGTAGTACAATTCTAATAACTCTTGCCAGAACGAAAATTCGTTTTCATATAACATAGGTTAATCTTAAATAATTATCGACATAACAATTTGAACAAAAACAAAAACCGACAACAAAATCAAGAGAGAATATTATCAATATAGCAGAAGTTAATTAGATATTATTAAGGGGTAACTGAAAAACTTTTTGGTCACATTTTGATAAAACGTTCACGGGACTACACAAGGAGCAAGCAGCTTTCAAATACGGAGTCATCAAAAAAACCCAGTCGAATATAAAATTTTAGACTAACCTAAGAATTTTGTCCTAGTCTGCTTTAAGTTTGATAAAATCTATATAAAAGTGGTCCAGTGCTGAAGACGAACCAGCATGGCGATACCATCACACATATTTGAACAAGCTTTATGCTTTGTAATTATCATTCCGTCGGGCGTAACGTGAGTCCGCGATCTCGTAACGGTCAATCTGATCTGTCCATGAAGTCTGTTTAGTAGTTCACTAGAATTTTTATTTTACAACTTAATGAAATTCAAATTAAAGCTATTATTTCGGACATTTAGAAATAAGAGCCGTTTTGTTTTATACAGAAAAATATTTTTGACTGATTATTTTGAAGGCCTGAACAAAAACGTTTTGTATATTTTAGGATTATTTTATACAATCCGGCTCCTAGATGGTTATCCTTATTTCTTGTAGATTCATTTGCAATCAGAAAATTTTATTTTTAGTCTCTATATTTAGTATAGTTACATATATACTATCCGAATCCTATTTTTTATCTTTAGTCTGGTTAAACGTAGACCATACGTTACATACCGGGTACAAACATTCCCTCTATTTCTACTATGAAGCAATCGTTATAGTAATCATGTTCTAAAGTGGCAAATAACGTTGCGAGTTAGTTGTCTACGGGATCCGGGACTCATTTAATTCTGAATGGAATGGCTCGTGAATTTGTTTACCGATTGTCGCTAACAAAAAAAATCATCTATTGCTGTCACAAAAAAGTTGAAAATTAATAATTACCTTATATAAATACACTTAATTTACCTAACATTACGTAATTAAAAAAATATATATCTATCTGCTACTTAAATATGATCCCGGTCATCGTTCTCGTCGAACCCGTCGCTGCGACGAAGGGCTCGACAAGTAAATTAACCCACAGACAAAGCTCACTGAGTTTCTCGCCGGATCTTCTCTGTGGGTCGCGATTCCGATCCGGTGGTAGTTTCTGCGAAGCACGGCCCTTGCTAGGGTTCGTGTTAGCAACGTCGTCAGTTTGAGCACCGCGAGCTCACCTACTACTTAAGGTTACGCTGAAATAGCCTCTCAAGGCTATCAGCATAGGTACGAAATAAAAAGCATTTCCCATAAGATGTATTTATCTGTAGCTCATTTGGTTGTCATCTTACAAATACAAGTTTTGAAACATGGTTACCGACGAACAAACAGAAGTCTTAATAAAAACGTATGCGATTTTATACGGCACTCGTTATGATTACAATACAAAAATTGCTGATCATAGGGCAATGGCGGTAGGACCTCTTCTGAGTCCGCACCGCCTATTTCTGCCGAGAAGCAGTTATGCGTTTCGGTTTAAAGTGTGAGGCATAGGTAGGAAAAAAAAAGATCATTATACAATATAGGATTTGTCCAACAGGTACGACGTGGACAACGCTATCGAGCACAAGCCCCGCAGAAGGCACAGAGCTCGACGGAAAGAACGAAGTCTGCACGCGCACGTTCACGTCTCGTCGACGTGCGGAGCTTCCGCTGGTGCCGGAGAGTTCCTTGTCATGGCCAGACGAAGGTTAGGCCGATACTCACTTGTATGCGCGCCCAGAGTTGATGATTGGGTACAGCTAGTTCTGAAGAGAAATGCTGATGGAACCGCTCATTGTTTATTACAACACTAATTTAAAATTTCCTAGCTGACGCGTTTGAAGTTACTAAGTACACTTTAAATCGTATGGGACCAAAAATGATAGTAAACATTTCGGTATTCGTATTAATTTATGAATGGCTCATAAAAGCAATTAAGAAGCGTTTTAGATAAAATAAAATAAATTTTATTAATCGAAAATTAAATTCATGTAGCGATTAAGAATGCCTAACAAAATTTCTGAGGAATAGACAATAGTTTTATGAGCATTTACACTCGATTCAGACTCCTTGCAATTCAAAATGTTAATAAACTAATATTCTAATTTATGTAGTGAAATACACGAACTTAGTAATTTTGATCCGAATAAAAAAAAATCGATTAATATCATGTATATTCCATATAAATATAAATATCAATATTAATCAGTCTATAATAAATACATTGACGACGCTTCCAAAGGTTTTAATTGAATTGTTGTATTTTCAATGTGTCTGTTGCTTGCCATATAGAATCAAGCTTATAGAATATTTTGTAGTTACGTTATAAAATTGTTATTTGAAAATGCGGTCCACAGTGCCAAATTATAATAAGATCTTCATGTTACTATAATATAGACGTAAGGTTGATCTCAAGTTCTGTATATAATAATTATTAAGACGGGGGAACAAAGCCATATTAATGTTATTCAAACACCACGCTACATTAGCGACAGCTAATTTAAAAATTTGCATAGTTTTTGAAGGAAGTTTAAAAAAAAAAGGGTATTTAACCACATCCTAAAAATATTTCTATTAAATAAACCGAGATTAAATATGCCAACAAATTACAAATAAATTTTTGAGGATCTAAATTTATTGAAAGCAAATTGTATTTTTTTGTGTTAAGGTATAATAGTTTTATTTCTATACAATAGACATGAAAGTGACTAATTTCGTTCCTTCAAAGTACTTTTAAACAATTGAAAACTGAACTGACGAAAAATGTACATAAATTATGCACATAAATTACCATAGTAATTTAAAAAAATATTATGTAAAAACATTGTATGTACGGTGCTATTTGCAGATCTTCCATTCAGTAAGATGCACAAATAAATTTATATTCAAATAAGATTCTATTATCAATATATTATCTGCTATTATTTTGTCACTAAGTAGTAATATATTTGTAAAAAGATATTATAATATATAAATGTCGACATGTGATATAGAATAGATGAGTTATAATGAATAATCAAGTGCCTTGTAAATATATTATATTTTATTCGTGTTTTATATTATAGATTATATTAATATCATATATATATGTAAAAATACAATCGTTGAATAAAATATGTATAAATACTCATGTTTTTCATTTAGTCGACTTTCCTTGTATTCCTCAAGTTTGTTAGCCATTAAAGTCATGATAGTCATTAAAGCTGTTATTTGTTGCATTCTTAAATATTAAGTGTTTGAATGGTTCTATTCTATATGTATAGTAGATATACAGGTTGTTTTTACGAGAATACATTTGTAGTTTTATTTTAAAATGGCATTAATTCTGAAGATTTATGGAAAAAATAATAATCTTTGTAATGTATTTTAACATTTCCCTAAAGATGTATTATCTGTAGATCCTTTGGTTGTCATCTTACAAATACAAATTTTGAAACATAGTTACCAACGAACAAACAGAAAAGTCTTAATAAAGAACGTATGCGATTTTTACTGGTGGTAGGACCTCTTGTGAGTCCGCACGGGTAGGTACCACCGCACTGCCTATTTCTGCCGTGAAGCAGTAATAAGTTTCGGTTTGAAGGGTGGGGCAGCCGTTGTAACTATACTGAGACTTTAGAACTTATGTCTCAAGGTGGGTGGCGCATTTGCGTTGTAGATGTCTGTGGGCTCAAGTAACCACTTAACACCAGGTGGACTGTGAGCTCGTCCATCCATCTAAGCAATAAAAAAAAATACGGCGCTCGTTATACATAGTGCGATAAGATTGCAGTAGTATAATTGCTGATGATGGGGCACTGGTGGTAGGACCTCTTGTGAGTCCGCACGGGTAGGTACCACCACCCCCTCTTTTTCTGCCGTAAAGCAGTAATGCGTTTCGGTTTGAAGGGTGGGGCAGCCGTTGTAACTATACTTGAGACCTTAGAACTTATATCTCAAGGTGGGTGGCGCATTTACATTGTAGATGTCTATGGGATCCAGTAACCACTTAACACCAGGTGGGCTGTGAGCTCGTCCACCCATCTAAGCAATAAATAAAACAAGTTTTGTAAGCTCGGACGGGCATATGCCTTGCCTATTACTGTGCCAAGCATGTCCCATGCGATCTGCGAGAACGGGTTAATCGAAAATCCGAACGGACCTTTTTTATAAGTTTTCAGATGGCAGTAGCTGACACACAGGCGCCCGTCACATACCCGATCCTGTAGACCGAATGGTAAACAGTCGACGTTGCCCAAAACACGTCATTACGGATCCTTCGGATAAATTAACGGTGCTTTTTAGCACCGGTCACCGTCCTCGTCGAACCCATCGCTTGCGACGAAGGTCTCGACGAGCGAATTAACCCATAGATACAGCCCACTGAGTTTCTCGCCGGATCTTCTCAGTGGGTCACGTTTCCGATTGGTAGATTCTGCGAAGCACTGCTCTTGCTAGGGTCAGTGTTAGCAACTCTCCGGTTTGAGCCCCATGAGCTCACCTACACGCTAAGGTAAAGCTGAAATAGCCTCTATAATTATGGGAAATTTCATATTCCTTCGTCCGCGCAATTTTCGTAAAAAGGGGTACAACATTTTAGGGGTAAAAAACGTTAGGGCGAAGCTGAAATAGCCTCTCAAGGCTGATGAGCATAGGTAGAAAAAAGAAATCTTCTCAATGGGCCGCGTTTCCGATCCAATTGCAGATTCTGGGAAGTACTGCTCTTGCTAGGGCTAGAGTTAGCAAACCTCTCAAGGTCGAGTCCGTGAGCTCACCTACCCGACTGTGACAAGCTGGAATTGCCTCAAGCTGCTAGCCAATATGTAGAGAGAAAAAAAGATTGTCGTTTTAAATAATACATTAAATAATTAACTAATAAAACTGAATAAAAAAACTCTAAATTACAGCAACTCGTTTATTGACAAAATCACAACTGATACCATATAGAAAATCTACTCGGCACGGTTTAACACTTAACTATATATAATATCACATAAACACTTAATAATTTGATAATAATATACTATATTACATTATACAATCGCTATTTGTCATTTGGTACACTTTGTGAAAACATCAGTTGTTTGTGATCATCACAGTACAAAAAACAAACATTACATTTATTATAATACATAGAATAAAAATTATTAAAACAAAAACTATTTGAAACGAAAACAAAATGTTTTTGTGAAAAACAAAAAAAATAAAAACAATCTTCATCGAATTGCACTTAAATGAATTATTATTATTATTAGCAATGTAAACTTAGTTATATAAACATTACACAATAATACATTAAAATACTGTAAACGACAATAGAGAGATAATTATTTTAAAAATATTTAATTTCGTTGTGATATGTTGACGTAGTGTATTTTGGAAACGTTTCTATTGTGATTTATTATTCCAATACGGACATTAAGTCTCAAATACTTTTTAGTAGAAGAAAAAAAAAACATTTTGTGATGGAATGTCTCACGATTGAATTCACTTAGTGAGATTTATAAATATGTACTAAAAATTATAAATTCACATTTTATTTAAATTTCAATTACATATAAACTTATCGCATATAAAAATACAAAAGATAATTATTATAGGTTTGGCATAAGTCATATCATAGAATTGAATGTGAAAAATGGCGACGTGCCTCATGAAAAAAAAAATAAACCCACAAACAACATTTAAATCATAATAATAAAGTAAAATACTATGTCATCATCACACTCGTGTGAGAGTTTATTTAACTATTCGAGTGGTGATGACCGTGGAGTGTTCTTTCATAAGCTCTAGACAATTGATCAAATAATCAATAAATGATCCTCTTTACTTAGTAAAATAAGACATTATTTTATTCGGCACACATATTTGAAAAGCATACTTTAGATTATGAGCAAAACACACTCAGCCTTAACAGTTTGATAAAGTTTAACCCCAAATATAACCCCATACAATGTCGTTGTTTTGATGACTGGCTCAATATTTCCCATCATTTTTACGTTTCAATTTTGATAATAGAAACTTTATTGTTGATTAAATCACATAATATTGGTTTACAAGTGACACGGTTTAATAAAAAAATAATAAAAAAATAGTAAATTTTGAGGTATTAACATTATTCAATGGAACACTACAAATAAAGCCTAAAATAAAAAATAAGAACCAAACATCAGATCATAAAGTTACGTAATGTGCTGGCAATAAATATTAAATTTATGTTAATTATAAAAATTGTGCGAACACCGTATTTCTTTTTCAAATATTTTATGTGATGTAATTATTGTCGCAACAGTTCAATGACGAGGAAGCTCTAACACCGTAGTACTACTGGATCATACTCAAACTTTACTTAGCGATCGTTTTTTTTTTTGCTTTTGTTAATTTAATGTAAAATTATATAAGCAGTTCTTAAATAAAATAATTAAATAATAATTAAATATCTTTTAAAAAAAAATTCCTTGCCTAATCACCGGTAATGGCCTAAGGGGCAATTCCAGCTACTCACGGAATAAATTTTATCATTTAAAACTATTATAGTGACAATTTGAAACCTTTTGGAATTAGGTGGCTTATAAGCTCACGAACAATTATCGAAAGCTTTATTCAGTAGCTGACGCTGAATTATCACCTTGTATATCGTTAAATTTTATCCATCAGATAGAGCATTGTTTTGAAATAAGTTACATACAGATCGCCAAGTAAATTCTAAGAAAGTATATAATATTTCATACTAATTTTATATATTCAGACGATTAATTATGCAGGTGTATATATTTTTTAATTAAATTGTAACTATACTTTTATGAACCGACTGATACCTAACACTGAATGAATTAATTCTGAAATACCTACTAGTCAGTATACAATAACAACAATACACTTTTAGGGTTATGTTATTCGCTAGTATTTTATTTATTCCGAAAACATTTTTTGGCAGATATAATCGTCCCAGATTCTAAACATATAATCTGAATATTCACATTGCGGTAATAAAGTTGTGATTGAGACATAGGTTTAAAAATCCTGCACAAAATTGTGGAAATACGAGATTGTAAACGAGCCGGCGACGATTATATGAAGTACGACTATGAATGGAGTTGGTCTAAGCATGATTAACCATTATTGTTTTTTTTTAAATCACGGGTTCAGCATTGGAAGCAGAAAACTCAATTTTTTTTTAAAAATAAATTGCAGTGGAAGCAAACCTCAGAAATGCTCAGAAATATCTTTTTATAATGTTATATACGTTTTATTATGAGAAGACTAATATATTATTACAATAATTCATGTGAAAGAAGGCAAGGTTCTTAAATGGTAAAAATTAATTAATCCAAACTCATTATTTAAAATAATTTTCGAAATAATGTAAATAATATAATTGTAACGAAAAACAATCTAAAAATCGAATTTTATTTTGAGACTTATGAGACTCAGAAGTTAAAAAAATATGAATATTTCATAAAATAAAAATCAATTATATTGTGGTATTGTCGGAACTGTTTCGCCTTTAGCATAATATTACTGTTTAGTTAATTATATCATAGCTACATAATTAACTTTAGCGACGCATTTGTTTACAATGTCTCGTTGTTTTTAATGTTTTCATTGTCTTTTTTATTAAATAAAAACAAGTTCGCTAACTTAATTTCCTAGTACAATTTAATTTCTAATTACGTCCCTGCCACATCCAAAATAATAAAAAAATATTCTCATTACATACTTTTCCAATTATAAAAAATAAACTACAATTTCGTTTTAGATAGGTACATGAAAATTTGCATAGAATTTTAATTTTATAACATCAAATAAACAATTTGTTATGTGCATAGACAATTAAATATTTTTCTATTTGCGTTTCATTTTTTGTAAAGTTTTTTTTTAATTGTATATCACTACTTATAAGGATGCCTTAACCTAACAAAAAAACCCTTGGCTTCTTAATTCAGAAAAACCCCAATGTTAAGAGTAATTTTTTTTTTAATATTCCGAACTCTTTTAAAAAACACGTTTTGGGTTAAAAAAGTACTCACTCAAACTGCACCGGTGTTGGCGTCATTATGTCGATAATGATATCCTCCATGTTCGGCAAAACGAGGACCTTTTCGAATTCTTTGCTCAGCTTCTGCTCGATCCAGTTGGAGATGTGCGTGAAACGTAACGTGCGCGCGCCGACCGCGGGACGCGCTTTTAGCACCAGTTGAGGATTCGTTCGGAAACTGAATCGTATTCAAACATAAAATATTACTTTCTCAATTTCAAATATAGAATCTATTTTGATTAACTTTTTTTTAAGCTTTTATGGCCTGACAACGAGTCCTTTAAGTCTTTATTTTCTTCTTTTATTCTGTTATAATATAAGTTATAAGTTAATATATAGTCTCAGAAAAATGATGGGTATTTACTGAAACTTTTTCATTTCAGTTTTTTTTTATGAACCAGGGAAACTACGTCCAGCGGCTTTGTTTTATTTACCCCATATTTGTGCATTTTAAATCAGTTGCTGTTAATATAATAAACGCTAAATGAACAAAATAAAACAATTCAAACCACTCCACCACCACGCGTTCTCTAACCTATTTTAAAGTAATTCATTCATTTGGTAGAGAGTCATTTTTTTTCAAACTATGAAATAAACTCCAAAACTTCAGATGACATACATAGTACGGTGATGTCATTATAATTACACACAACAATTTTTTATAGTATCACTCAAAGTTCACTAGCGTAATACCTGTAAGATGGGCAAGAAAACAATTGACATTGACAATGTATAGAAAGAAAACTCCATACCCGATCCATACTCGATCGTGCGGCGGAGGCGGGAGATTAAATGACAGGCGTCCCTCTAGACCTTGTATTTCTAGATGCAGTTTTATATCCGTGTTGGACAGTCCCTCCATTGCACGCTTCACATACTTGTAGTCGGTTACCTGTGAGAACCGGTATTTTTTTTAAACTTTCTGTCCAGCAATGGTACCTTTAAGCCAATGAAAGCTAGATAGATTTATTTGAAAATATTGTGCAAATAGGAACGACGAATCATTTTGTTTATCTGTAGATATGCGCTGTTCCTTTGTTCTAGTGCTGGGACATGTTGGGCTGTGTTCGATTTTAAAATTTTGATATATCATAAAGTATATTATTAAGCATAACATATGTAGCAATTATAATAACTATTAAATTAGAAGCATTCTAAATCTAGTGATAGAGGAACTAACAAAAAACACTGTAATACATGAACTCTGCTAGGAAATTAAGCGAGAGAGATGTTTAGGGGTAGGCTTATTCATGCGTTCTTATAACAATGCGTCATTTTTTAAATAACCGCTCATATGTTATCTTCGATATGGTTTTTAGTGAAAATATTTTAATCTAGAAAGATCGATGTATCTATCCAAGTTGGCTATAGACTTCAAAGCAACAGATTTCGACGAAATTTTCAGAAAATCTTCAGAAATTCGTCTAACGGGTGATCCTCTGAAGTTTGGTAGCGATCGGATCGAAGTTAAATCGAAGATTCGTCAGCAACGAGTGTCGGGTTGGACTATTTATTTGTATAGTTCAAGTTTAATTCATACCGAATTCGTAATCATTGATTAAAATGAATATTTGAGGAATGCTTGAGAAGTGTCATGATCAATAACTTAAGGCAACTCGATTACTCTTACTACGTACTTTAAATAGCAATATCAGTCACTTGAGGAGTTGCATACCGGTATTGATCAATAGACATAATATCTTATACTTTTAAACGAGCAATTCTTGTATATTAATATATATATATATATATATATATATAATCTGAATCTTGGAAACGGCTCTAACGATTTTCATAAAATTTTGTATACAGAGGATTTCGGGGGCGATAAATCGATCTAGCTACGATTTATTTTCAGAAAATGTTGTTTTATTCGTGATTTCAATAATCAACTCTTCCCGATATCTATTGGCGAATAATAATACTATGTTTCTTAATTGAGGGCAACTAACCGCTTTAAAGACACAACAAGATGGCGTTATCAAAAAAAATTTCGAGCAAAGCTCGGTCATCATCTAGTTTATCCAGACGCGTTCAAGGATACCGAAGCTAAACTAACCTGCTGGAAGTATTTGTTGGTTGCAATCTTATCGACCATCCGTAAGAATTTCTTTTTGGACGATCCACCTTCTGTCGTCGTAGATCTGTAAAGTGGTTTTTTCGAAACATTCAATAGAGGATGCTACGAAACTTTTTAATTTCAATATCGACATTATATATGTAACGAAAAACATTTACTATTCAAAATCTTTTTTAAAACTGAAGTCGAATACTAAAGGTTTTTCGTTACATTTATATAATGGACCTTTTCATTCAAAGGTTGTTTGTTGATAATGATGTATGTGCGGACAGTACAATACTATAATAATATCCGATTTGACTTATAAAAGATTTAAAAAAAAATCGAATGCTTCGTTTTTTATGGGATTTTGTGACCTGGTAACTAAGACCTTTAAGTCATGTCTTATTTTAATTCATATTCTTATTTTTATGAAAAATGATATAATATGGAGTGAAATGAAATGAAATTATATGGGATCAAATATAATCTCAGTAAAATGGTGGTCATTTACTAAGATTTTTTCAGTGGACTTTTTCGCGGAACCCGAGAAGTTACGTCCAGCGGCTTTGTTTCATTTTCCCACATTTGTGCACTTTCACAGATATTAAACAGTTAATAAACCACCGTTATTACACATTTAAACCTGAAGAATCACTAAATAGACAAAATAAAACAAATCACACAACTTCACTCCTCGCGTTCCCGCCAAAAAGTCTCTAATGCTCACCAGACTGACTACTCTTTTCAAAAAGTTTAATCAATATTTAATCGATAATATTTAATCGATACAGTTAATCGATAAATAAAGTACGCTACTCACGGAGACTCCGATACCGTTAGGTTGTCAGCGCTGTCGACGGGCTGCACCGGCGGACTCTCGTCGTCGCTGCTCGACTCTGCGGAGTCTTCTATATCGGAATCGTATATCGCTGGTTTCCTTTTCTGATACAATAAAAAACAATAATTCAAACTTAGTTTCTCAAATAGAATTTGTAATTTACCTTTAAATTAGTAAATCAAATGAAAATTCACAAAAATAAACTATTCATGGTATGATTCAATATATTTTATTCACAACAACTAATTAATAAGATTAATTCGGGAATACAATTCATTAAGTGTATGCGTTCCAGTCTGAAGGGTGGGGCGGTCGTACACTATAGAACAGATACTTAAAGCTCAAGTCTAAAGGTGGGTGGCGGAATACACATTGTCGATGTCCATGGGCTCTGGTAACTTAACACCGGGTGGACCGTGAGTTCGTTGACCCAACAACGCATTAAAAATAAAAAAAAAGAATATTTATGAATACTTACGAATAAGTACCGCTGTTTTGTTTAATTCTTCCGGATTCCACAGTTTAACCTCGACAGTGGCGGTTAAGATGGATATTGACACTCACTTTCATGTACGTCTGTGCTCAATGAAAATGAACTAAATTAAAAAATTAAATTAAAAAAAAAAACGTTGCTCTTACTCTGAGTTGTTTTTCAGAAAACGCTCCACAAGTCGGTGTGGCGCAAGTGTCGCTTTCGACGACATTCTCGCTGTGCTCGAGGAGTTGCTCCTCCAATGTCATATCTGAATGAAAACGTCGTTGTATATCAGTAATAGTCTAAGATCCGACTGCGGGATTAGTGCGCTCATCGGTTATTTGCTAAAAACCAAATTTTTATGTATATTTATAATTAGGAGAATATATGTCTACCAAGTTGCCTATCAACATTTGGCCGCTAGTATTTTTAATTAAATTATTTTTAATTGCTTTTTGGGAAAAATTTCGTTCACTTGTTTTTTAAATAAAATATCGTCGTCATCAGGGCAATTTACATAATGATTTTAAAAAATCACGGTTGCCATTGCGCACCTGGCCGCACCTCTTCGCAGCCAGGTGTAAACAGGTATGATTTCGATACATTTATACGTTCATAACGTATATTTATTAATTATATATCAAATTGAAGCTAATTTTTGTCTATTAATTATCATATATGGTTACCTAATTAAATCTGGCCGCAAATAAGGGTTGCTAGCTGTTAAAGATGATAAATATTTAAGGTAGAGTGAAAGTATCTCGGATCTCGTACTATAACAAATATTTAACAAACATAATACGCATCTTGAGACGTCAGCTGGAAAGGCAGTGGAATTCGAATTAGACGCGAACTATTATTTGGATTTTATTTAAATCATCGACCTAAATGTTATCGGAAAAAATCTATACTTTTTTTTTGTATGGACAGTCGAGCATACGGCCCTCCTGATGGTGAGTGATTGCCGTCGCTCATGGACGTTATTAATGCTAGGGGCAGAGCCAAGCTGCCTACCATAAGACATAAGAGCGTAGGTGCTAGCTAATACCTTGCCAATTTCTACTATGAAACAGCGATGCATTCTACTTTATGACGACCGTTATATAATGCTTTTGCAATAATCGGCACTTTTGTACAGAGGCAGTTTTATCTATGGTGCAGGGTGTGGGCGTAGCCAATGACCCTGTTACATTTGTACCGATTCCATTTTGATCGCGCGCTTCCTAGAGGGCGCTAGGGTAATGATTGCACACGGACGCTATATGGGCTAGAGACAACGTTGTTTGTGTGCCGCCAAATTTAAAATTCACCATATTTATTAACCTATTTTAGACCGTGTATTTTAAGTAAATAATGAAGATTAAAACATTTGTTTGGATGCCGCGATTAAAAAAAAGTTTGAGAGCCACTGCATTTATTATTCACTCCACTCATTATTAAGGAGCATTTTTTAAACAATTAGCTTCAAACCAGTTTAATATGTGGTAAGGTAGATTCTGAAATTGGTATTTACTTCAATTGTATATTTATGTTTCATAGGTATTTTAAGTATGTTTTATATGTAAATTGCTTATTCTTATTTATGTGTAAAGAAGCAAAACTATTATTACGTTACATTGTGTATTTGTATGTATATATAAGGTATTATTTTAGGTTTATATATGTAAGGAATTTGTGTATGTATATATCGTCTTTTCGCATTAAAAGTGTACAATTTCCAAAAATATTCCAAATTGAGTTAATATGCGGAATCATTAGGTACCACCAGTATTTTTCTCATAAATACTGTTTTTTTTTTTAGTCTACCTATGTTTCGAATACTATTAACAAAATTAATACATAATTTTATTTTACTTTAAAAGACAGATAATGTAACTGGTAGAAAAAAAAAAATGTAGCAAAGATGATGGTTAATATTAAAAATATCACATGTTCAACCTTTAAAACACTCTTCTGTAAAATTAGTAAGTTTTGAGATTATACAGTTTTAATGCGAGAAGACGATATATGTGTATGTATTGGTACTGGATTCACTGGATTAATACACCGCGCATAATTCGTTTCCAAACGATTCTTATCCATCTGATGGTTGTCTGGAAGAGATCGCTCTTAGCGATAAGACCGCCAATTTTCCTTTTTTGTATTTGCAGGGAGCACAAATGTCCCCATAGCAACTAATAATTATATGTATGTGTTAGCGGTAATTATATTGCAATGATGCTACATCAGTCTCGGGATTGTCGGGCTGTCGATAGCACGTTAGGTTGTAATCCCAATATACGTTAGTCACTTAACTGAACACGTGTCTTATGAATCCTTGCCCGATATAGAGATTAAACATATTTAATGTATCGCATTGTTTATTTATTTTTTGGTGTACAATAAAGAATACTCTATCTCCCTCTCTCTCTCTATTTGTATGACTTTTTATATTTACTCTTCTCCTTCAGCTTCATGAGGTTGATCTGCGTGAGTAGCGCGATGTGGGCGCCGCCGTCGTAGCGCAGGTCGGCGTCCAGCCACACGCCGCGCGCGTCCCAGCGCGCCGCCACGCCGCCCAGCGCCGGGCACGCGCCCGCCAGCGACAGTGACGTCACCGTCAGCGGGGACATGAACGACGGCAGCTGCACGCGGGCGGGCAACGTTGCACATATATGAGGCCATCAGAGTAAAAGTGGCCTAATCAACAGTTTTTCAAAATTGGTGCTTTTAAATTGCAATTTATTTAAAACATAATAAATTTTGACGCAAAACTGGACTATCCTAGTTTCAGCGATAGATAGCGGATGGCTTCGTAAACATTCTTTTCGCTCGTATTGTTTTTGCCTACGAAGCAGTGTAAAAGTGAATTCAAACCTCGATATCTCCATTCTAACAATGGTAAGCTTAGGCCACTTTTGCGCTGACAGCCTCATATACACATATTATGTCATACAAAACCATCGCGATACCAGTCCGGTATCAGACACAACATTTATCATCAAAAAACAAAATATACTATATATAATTCTTCTTTACGTGTTTATGTCACTGAGCTAAGCGACTGGACCGATTTAAATGAATTTTTTTGTATGAGTTTGGTGGGTGGCGCCCTGGATGGTTTAGATTTACAAATCAGCCCGGCAGATGACGCTGCAGTTGGTATTTAGGCTATTTATCTATACCGCAACTAAACGGCTGGATCGACTTGTTTTAATTTTTTGTATGCATTCACAGGACAACGTCTCTCGGGTCCGCTAGTATATATAATATATATACTAGCGGACCATAATATAATATAAATATAATATAACTAAACCAAAGAATCCGACCTTCGGTACTGACCTTTAGAGTGTTGAGCTTTCTCTGTATCCTGTTCTGCACGCGCGCTATGATGACGGGGTCCCGCATCACGTCGTACGCGACGCGAGCCAGCGCCGTGTTGACCCAGGTCAGTTCCGCGGGCAGGGTGCGGCACTCGCAGTCCGGTGACGGACTTTTTGGCTATCGAAAAAAAATAATAGGCGTTTTTTTAGCCTACCTACTTTTAGTAACCTCAAGGGGTTATGTAACTTTTAGGCGGGAACGCGACGAGTGATGTTGTGTGATTTGTTTTATTTTGTCTATTTAGTGTTTCTTCAGGTTTGAATGTGTAATAACGGTGGTTTATTAACTGTTTAATATCTGTGAAAGTGCACAAATGTGGGAAAATGAAACAAAGCGCGTAACTTCTCGGGATCCTCCAAAAAGTCCACTGAAAAAGTCTCAGTAAATGACCGCCATTTTACTGAGATTTTATGTCATTCCATATCATTTCATTTCATCCCAGTTGATTAATGTCTCAAATTAACTATCTTCATTTCATTTCATTTCACTTCCTATTATCATTTTTCGTAAAGATAAGAATATAAATTAAAATAAAACATGACTTAAAGGTCTTAGTTACCAGGTCATTAAATCCTTTAAAAAATATAAAGGGGGTCATACCTTCACCTGACATGGAGGCGAGCTTCAAGCGATCAGTGTACTTAGTGCGAGTTTTTTAACGTACTCGATAGCGTAAAAGTTAACTCAAATTTGTATGGAGTGGCGAGCGTTTGCTTACGTTTGCCGCTAGGGGCGCTGTTCTGAGCGCACAGTCCTAGGTTGACTTTGCTAACATCCACCCTAGCTAGAGCAGGGCTTAGCGGAATCTAACACTGAATAGGAATTGCGATCCGTTGAGATACGGCGAGAAACTCAGTTTGTGTGTGTCGATTGTATATAGTATTATATATGATATTAATTATGATGACATTTATGTTGTCAACTTTAATGCGTTTGAATGTGAAAATAAAAAAATCAAAATCAAAACTAGATTTACTCTATTAGAAAGCTTTCTACGGTTAGTGCTAATATTTTTTAATGCTAATCTTTTCTAAATATTTCTAAAAACAATGACTAAATATAAATATTCAATTAAATTTACTTTCTATGTCTCGACTAAGGAAGATCTATGTGTTTCGTATTAATTAACTATTTATCTGTTCGAATAGAATACTATAACGTCATCTATATATTATGTATGGCTTAGATACGTTTAGTTACAAGTAAGTAAACAAACATCGCATTTGTTAATCTTCTTGTTCCGATTTCTTTGGTGAGTTGACGGTTCGATCGTACACATGACTCCCACGTCTGCTGTTTGTTTCGAGGCTACATCGTGACTCTGCGATATACATTAAATAATGCACTTTAAAGTCTCGAAGATAAAACCTAAAATCGAACAAACAGAAAATTTAAACTAGGCATTTGGCAAGGGATGTGATAAGGATTACAGATTATTTTGTAAAAAAAAAAATATTTTGCGTTAATCAATATTATTACTAAAATTGTTATTTTTAAATATAATTTATGATTTTTTGGATTAATCAATAAAAAAATAATATAAATCAATTTATATACTGATCGTTTGTCAGCTAATTCATGCTATGTATAAGCATAATATTACAATCCAAACTACACATAAAATATATTCCTTTGAATATTGTATAAACTATATATACCTAGTCAGGTCATAAATTCTGTCACATGTTTAATGTAAAATAATTGAAACAAGTTTATTCATTATGTAACCATTCATATACTAAAATGAACTTAACAAAACATAGATTCTTATGACACTAAAGTTTATTCAAAATGACCTCCGTGATTTTGAATACAGGCCTTCAATCTGCGCGGCCAGTCGTCTATCGCAGCACGAACGANCTATATATAAAAATAAAAGTAGTGCCAACCCTAGCAAATTTCTCATTTCGTCCCAATTAACCGCAATTTTCGGGTAAATAGGGATTACACCTATTTTTGCATTTTTTGCTTAAACTGGAATGCTAGTTGCATAATTTTAAATTAAACAACAAAGATGCCCCCAAGACTCAATCATTTTGATCCTGATATAGCATTATATACATCAACAACTGCCTTAAAATTGCTCATAAAGTTGGAATTTGTCCCTAATCGCCCCATTTTACGGTATACAATACCAACAATACACTTTAGGGTTATGTTATTCGCTAGTTTTTTTTATTACGAAAACATTTTTTAGCAGATATAATCGTCCCAGATTCTAAACATATAATCTGAATATTCACATTGCGGTAATAAGGTTGTGATTGATACATAGGTTTAAAAAATCCTGCACAAAATTGTGGAAATACGAGATTGTAAAAGAGCCGGCGACGATTAGATGAAGCACGACTATGAATGGAGTTGGTCTAAGCATGATTAACCATTATTGTTTTTTTTTTTAAATCACGGGTTCAGCATTGGAAGCAGACAACTCTATATTTATTTTTTTTAATTAAATTGCAGTGTAAACAAACCTCAGGAATGCTCAGAAATATTTTTTTCTAATGTTATATACGTTTTATTATGAGAAGACTAATATATTATTACAATAATTCATGTGAAAGAAGGCAAGGTTCTTAAATGGTAAAGATTAATTAAACCAAACTCATAATTTAAAATAATTTTCGAAATAATGTAACAAAATAATAACAATTGTAACGAAAAACAATCTAAAAATCGAATTTTATTATGAGACTTATGAGACTCAGAAGTTAAAAAAAATTGACTATTTCATAAAATAAAAATCAATTATATTGTGGTATTGTCGGAACTGTTTCCCTTTTAGCATAATATGACTGTTTAGTTAATTATATCATAGCTATTTAATTAACTTTAGCGACGTATTTGTTTACAATGTCTCGTTGTTTTTAATGTTTTCATTGTCTTTTTTATTAAATAAAAACAAGTTCGCTAACTTAATTTCCTACTACAATTTAATTTCTAATTACGTCCCTGCCACATCCAAAATAATTAAAAAATATTCTCATTACATACTTTTCCAATTATAAAAAATAAACTACAATTTCGTTTTAGATAGGTACATGAAAATTTGCATAGAATTTTAATTTATAACATCAAATAAACAATTTGTTATGTGCATAGACAATTTAATATTTTTCTATTTGCGTTTAATTTTTTGTAAAGTTTTTTTTTATTGTATATCACTACTTAAAAGGATGTCTTAACCTAACAAAAGAACCCTTGGCTTCTTAATTCAGAAAAACCCCAGTGTTAAGAGTAATTTTTTTTTAATATTCCGAACTCTTTTATAAAACACGTTTCAGGCATTTTGGGTTAAAAAAGTACTCACTCAAACTGCACCGGTGTTGGCGTCATTATATCGATAATGATATCCTCCATGTTTGGCAAAACGAGGACCTTTTCGAATTCTTTGCTCAGCTTCTGTTCGATCCAGTTGGAGATGTGCGTGAAACGTAACGTGCGCGCGCCGACCGCGGGACGCGCTTTTAGCACCAGTTGAGGATTCGTTCGGAAACTGAATCGTATTAAAACATAAAATATTAATTTATCAATTTCAAATATAGAACCTATTTGAATTTTTTTTTAAGCTTTTATGGCCTGACAACGTGTCCTTTAAGTTAAATTATAACGGAATAAAAGAAGAAAATATAAGATATTTTCTTCTTTTATTCCGTTTTATAATTTAAAAATGATACGAAGCAAAATGAGATGAAGTTTTCTTAATTTGAGATTTTAATCACTTGAGATGAAAATTAAATATAAAAAATGAAACGAGACGATATGGGTTAATATATAAAGTCTCAGAAAAATGGTGGGTATTTTTTACTGAAACTTTTTCATTTGGGTTTTTCGATGAAGCAGAGAAACTAGGTCCTGCAGCTTTGTTTTATTTACCCCAAATTTGTGCATTTCAAACCAATTGCAGTTAATATAATAAAGGCTAAATGAACAAAATAAAACAATTCAAACCACTCCACCACCACGGGTTCTCTAACCTATTTTAAAGTAATTCATTCATTTGGTGAAGAGTCATTTTTTTTCAAACTATGAAATAAACTCCCAAAACTTCAGACAACATTCCATAGTACGGTGATGTCATTATAATTACACACAACAATTATTTATAGTATCACTCAAAGTTCACTAGCGTAATACCTGTAAGATGGGCAAGAAAACTATTGACATTGACAATGTATAGACAGAAAACTCCATACCCGATCCATACTCGATCGTGTGGCGGAGGCGGGAGATTAAATGACAGACGTCCCTCTAGACCTTGTATCTCTAGATGCAGTTTTATATCCGTGTTGGACAGTCCCTCCATTGCACGCTTCACGTACTTGTAGTCGGTTACCTGTGAGAACCGGTATTTTTTTTTTACTTTTTGTCCAGCAATGGTACCTTTAAGCCAATGAAAGCTAGATTTATTTGAAAATATTGTGCAAATAGGAACGGCGAATCATTTTGTTTATCTGTAGATATGCGCTGTTCATTTGGTCTAGTGCTGGGATGTGTGTGGGTTGTGATTCGATTTATAATGTTGACGTGACAACGTCTTATAATTCGATGCAGCCGGCTGCACGCACGAAAAAACATGATTCATTGAGGCGTTCCATTTAAGGCTTGAAGTGCAAGCGAGAGCGCGCAACGAGCGACAAAGAGGCACAATCGGCCTCCGCGTTCGGCAGCGTTCGCCATCTGTCTCTCTCCTACTTGAGTGAGCGACGCATCCGCGTGGACAGCTGCTATACAATAATACATTTACATGTTTTCGTCAAGTATGAAGTTCAGTGAAAAGTGAATGTGGTGTCAATTATCCATACAAAATATCTATCAAACAAATAAAATAAGTTTTCTTTTGAAAAATGAAACCATTTCATCAGTATTTTCTTATGACGTTGTCACGTTCAACTATCGTCAGTGAACCGACTTTACAGACAACCGATTTTTTTAATATATCATAAAGTATATTATGAAGCATAACATATGTAGCAATTATAATAACTATTAAATTAGAAGCATTTTAAATCTAGTGATAGAGGAACACTTTAATACATGAACTCCACTAGGAGATGAAGCGAGAGGGATGTGTAGGGGATGCCTATTCATGCGTTCTTATAACTATGCGTCATTTT